ACACACACACACACACACACACACACACACACTGGTATGCTCTAGGTATATCAAGACCCTCGGGGCACCACTGCATGTTTGAGGGAACTGGGACTGGCTGTTCCACAACAATCTCATATACCGCTGCTCTGAAAGTGATTTTCTGGGCCCTTGAGTCAGGTGAACACATTATGTGAATGACACCAGTGGCTCCTCGGTGGTATATGACAAGCAGGTCTTTGGTTCAGGCTAAATGCCGGAAAATACGGTACTTACTGGCATCTGCTTTCACTTTATCCATCTCTGAGAGTAGAGTCACCTCTCGGTCCATTAAACTGGAGAAAGAAGAAGAGAAAAGAGTTACAGAGCAACGACAGTAACATTAAATTAAAACAGGTGCTTGCAGATTCACGTTGACGCTGCTGAATGTCTGATCCCAACGAACGACAACAAAGTAAATAAAATACAGTTGCGTTGTAAAAGAGAAGAAGTGGTGGGTGTACTGATGCTCTCATACCATGATCATACACACCACAGTTTCATTCTAGCTCCTGATTATGGATGCTTGATAAAATCTGTATCTGTATCTGTGTTCATGTTTGCAGACATAAAAACTTGCATTTCTTTGTCATAAGTGTTTGATAACAACATCTTGGGAATCACTGTCAAATATATTGATATCAGAAATGGTTTTACTCCGCATCAGCTCCTAAAAAATCCACATCGGTCGGCCTCCATTTCATTTCTCGTATCTATGACGAACTGCTGATGTAACTAAGACAGAAAAATCTGAGGGACAAAGTACATTTGAACTCAGCAGAGACAAACTGTACCATTACTTCATGCTAGATTCAGATCCAAGTCCACTTTAAGGTACTCTGTGGACATTTTGACGACTGGAGCTATGGAGCAATGTGGGGCCACACTTTGCTTGTACTGTCAACTGTACGCACCAGGCATCAAATACAGTCACGCAGACAAGACCACAAATATCATCTATTGGCGATGGCGGGGACGGTGGAGGAGACTGCCTGCAAGCAAATGTTCATGTAAATGAGGCAGAATTTGTTTCGTTTGATTTGGTTCCTCGTGTCTTTTTCTCTCAACAAACACAAAACCACCACATGTCTTCAAGGATTGAGGGAACAATCACAGCTTCACGTTTTCAACAATCACACCGCCGGCTTTCAAGCTAACGTGCCAAGGTTGCTTTTAATGCCATGCTAAGATGGACACACACCAGGTTCACCCGCCGCCTCCTCTGTTGTATCAACATGATTTGATTGGCTGATGCCTCTGTTGAATCGCTACAGAACCAGAATGCAGTTCAGAAACGTTTTCCCTCACTCCATTTTGTGATTCAACTGCAGAATATGCAAAGTTGCAGGAGTGTGAAAGTGCAAACGAAAGACAGAATATAAAGGCGGTGTTTTAATGCAACCGTCTAACGCGTCTTTAATAGGAACAGATTCAAACTGTGGATATCTTCAGACGACTTGATAGTGATACTGTGCAGCTCCTGAGGGGCTTTGGATGAATACTCTCCTGCTTTCAGGCAGTTGGTCAACACATTGTTCGACATGCTGAGCTCTTCACAGTCATGATCTCAGCAATATGAAGCCTCTGAAAAGAAGATACCCACAACAGCATGTTGACAGCCGGCTGGATTCCATTGCCATGAATTGGGCTACACCCAAGAAAACGTTGAATCTTTCATTTGATGCTATATGGCTGCTTGAGGGAGTCCACATAAAGCAAATACTGATATAATCTCCTTATTGTGTATCTAACTCTCTGCTGTTAGTAGGTTACAGGTGTGTTGTGTTGCATGTTAAATTTCTAAAACACTGAATTGTGATTTACTGAGAGTTGTTGTTCATTTTCTGTGATAAATGTGAATCTTCTTCTGAGCCAACACATCGCAAAGCAAGTCTCAGCCAGAGAAGCTCTGCAGGAGCATCATGGGAGTTTAAGGTGTTGAGCACGAACAGAACAATTAGTCTTTTATATCTTTTAAACCGACAAAGTGCTCAGCTTTTAAAGGCCAGTGGAGGAGAGGCGTTAAATGGATCTCACATTCAACTCTGAATATCGACAAGAAACCGCGGCATCGTGTTTCAGCTTTTAAGAGAGAAAAGTGAAGGAGCTCTTTATGAGAAATACAGCACAAACCATTAACACTTAAGTAGATATCTAGTAGATACATCTCATTCATCCAAGGATTAAAGACAAACTATGGCCCACGATGATCATTTCTTAAATTATGTATTAATGGTTGTCACATTTGTCATCATTTGTCTCTAGTTGGTCTATATCATGTAGCTCTTCCCACCAGAGGCAGCACAAAGTCAAACTGAGGCTGGACACATAGAACAGTCATTTTCCTATTATGCAATGTTCTGTTTCACTGTCATCCAGGAGGACAAAGGTAAGAAACTGCCCTTTGACTCACTGATGGTACAGAAAAACCTGCACAAATGCAGCAATGTCCCCATCACTGATGTGAAAAGCAACATGAACTCTACAAAAATATTCCTCTCTGGAGCAGAAGGAAGCTAATCTGGGCGTTATAAGTCCCTCTTATTGGTTTGCTGTTCCAAAGAACCGTGAAGATCAGGCCAATTAGAAGATGACACATTGAAAAATAACAACACCTTTTAAAACTCACAAGGATGAAACATAATCCTCACGGTGCTCTTTGTATTTACTGTTGGGTGACTCAGGGTTCCATTGATTGTATTAAATGTCTGACTCAGAACGGCAACAATTAATATTTGAAGTTGCACCGGCTGAAATGCAGGTTTGGTTCATGAGTTTCTGAAGGAGGTTCTTGTTCCAGTGGGGCAGTTTTTGTGGTGTCAAATATTTCACCTCAGGATTCAGCTGCAGCTTTAACCAGACAAAGACTTTGAAAGAAATGACACGTACCAGCTCTGGAGCTCGGCAAACGTCTGCTTCATCCTCTTGATTGACGAGTCCATCTCATCCTTGACCACCATCCTGTAGCGGGTCAGTGAAGCGGTGCATCTCTGCAGGTCCTTCACAGAGCGGTCAATGGTGGAAGCTGAGTGGGAGAAGTTAGAGCTGACTCACAATTCTTTCTACAAAGTAAATTCAGGGGAAGATCATTTCAGAGGTATAGTTGTCTAACCGATCTTCTTGACCGCTGGGGACCCTTGTTCATCAATGGTGGGTCCTAATGAGGAGGTGGAGGGATGTGAATTTGAGCCAAGCCTGCGGCGGGACTTGTTGCCTCTGGGACCCTGATGATTTCGCACTTCTTGCTGAGACACGGGACTCTGAGCTCGACCTTGACTTTCTGCTTCTGCACCTGTGAGAAGATTATTTTACAACAAAAGCTGATTAAAAAACAAACTTATCCTCATTTTCCCTAAGATTCTCATAATATATGTAACATCCAATGTATCTTCTTATTTTATTTCAAGTGTCCAGAAACTCTTAAATATATCAAAACTAAAAAACAATATATTAATTCAATGTATAATTATGCAAGATAAATCATAAAACTTCAGACGGATGAGAAACGAGAAAATTTGAGGTTTGATGTGGAAATAATGTTAAAAAGCAGAATCACAGTTCTAAGTGTTTTTGCAGGACCTGACCTTTGACCTATCGGATATAAAATGCCAAAGGTTTGTCATAAGTATCTTATAGATTCTTGGGTTATAGCCAAAAACGTGTTTTGTGAGTTCACAGTACACAGGACCTTTGACCATCAGATTCTGATCCCTGCTCCGCTGAGTACAAAAGAACGTCTGTGCCAAATGTGAGGAAATTCCCTCGAAGTGTTCCTGAGGTATTATTTGCAGTAGAATGGGTCAAATGGACGACAACATGCTGCCTCCGGCCACAGCTGTCACCGGCATCAGACAGAAAAATGACTTGAGATTTGAAAATAAAACAGCCCTGGGCTCGTTTGCCATCTTCACACATATTTTGTGTGAAGAGTCATTATTACCAGTTGTTTCAGACGTGGCGGGTTCAGAGTCCAGCTCTGCTGCGTCGAGGGAAGCCGAGTCCAACTGCTCACTCAGAGAATCAAGTGACTCTCCGTCCATCACCGATCCGTTGGCATGAAAACCGTTCATCTCATCCTTGCCCTCCCCGGCCGACGTGGCCTCAGGTGGAGCAAGCTCTGCTGAGGCCTCGGGCTGAGGCTTGGGCTTCTTTTTCTTCTTGGGCTGGACATAAAAATATCAGTGTCAGATTCCTTTGTTTATATTCTCTCTGTTTGTTATCTGTTTCCTCATCAGAGCAGTGACTTCAGTTAGTTGACATTTGAACCAAAAATGTTCGCTACGGCAAACAAACAGTTTAAAATTAACCGTGGACACTTTAAACATGACTTACTGGGAAGGACTGCAATTAGTTTAATAACTAGGGATGATTTAAATGTGTGAACCAAACAAGTACAAATTCAAGACGCAGGCTTTCTGGTTCTTACCTTCTTTTTGCCTGTGACATTCCACTCTTTCAGGATCTCAATTGCACTTCCTAAGGCAAAATGCAAACAAGGATGACGAAGGTGCACAGTGAATACATTTAGATTAATAACCCATCTCAAAACTGGAATGCCCAGTGGTGCTGTTTAGACATTAAGACAGACAAAAGCAGCGTGACGTGCAGGAACAACTTTCTTGTTCTATTATTAAACCTGTAAAGCAAAAGACATGCGTGTGACACTCATCTTCTGAATTCAAAGCATCGGAATGCGTGACAAAAACGTTCCAAAGGTGAAGCATAAGTGAAGTGGGCAGCGTGCCTGAACACAGATCTGTGTATGAAGGAAACTATACTTTAATCTGTTGCAAATATATGTGAAACTAGAGTGCCCCAATCTGAGTATTTGTGGAGGTAGGCAATATATATATAACACGGCATACATGATACATCATTGTTCTAAAATAAATGGGGACACGTGTAACATATTTATAAAGAATCTTTGAGCTCCTGCATGACAAGCACTGACGTCACTGTACCTTCTAAGAAAGCCTGCACAGCTTTGTCCACACAGTTCTCGAAATGCTGCAACACCAGCACAATCTCATTGTTGCTTTTGTTGGGGACGACTGCTCTGACAGCACTGATCTGTGAAAACAACAAAGCACAAAGAAAAGCAATTTTTATTATCTTCAATCTTACAAATCTCCAGGTGACAGATTTACTGTAAATTCACACCCAAGGTATTTACTATCCAAATAAAAAAAATGTCTAAATGAAACATCACTTAACTTTAAGTCTTATTCATATAATACAAATGTGTAAATGCAAACGTCTTCAGAATATTATTCCTGCAAACACACACGCAGCTCCAGCACAAATATTTAAAACTACAAATTTTGTCAGCACTTGAGGTATTATAATCTACTGTAAATAAGAATAACCAATAAAAACAAAATCTAGATAACCTGCTGCCATGACAATATTACAACACCACAGCAAACCTGAAACTCTGCTGTGTCACATTGACCTAAATTTGTTCCATTATAGATTACTAGCTTTAAAGAGGACGAGGCGACCGGTCACGAGACCACAAGGATAAACCTCACGCAAAATCTTTTTTTTACAAGTTGTCTCACTGCACGTGTCAGCAACATTTTAAAGACGCTGATAAATCAACTCCCATTGAGACAGAACTAATCCAAGAGTCAACGAGAGCTCTAAACCTTGTATTCTTAGTTTAATACTATAACTGCTGCTCACACTCAGGTTGTCCTCTCTTATTTGTAAGTATAATATTTATATATATATTTTTTTTCTAATTTAACATCGCTGCTTACCTTCTCCTTCATTCTCTCCGCCGTTCCTCCCTGGGACATGACCATTTTTGAGCGAGTGTCGAACACCACACCAGATGTATCTGGAAAACAAAATATGAATGCTAATCTTCATTCTCTGTTCAGGCCTTGAATTTTATTTGCAAACCACTGCAGGACATCATTTGCAAAACAACTTCAACGGTGACTGTCTTTAATAAGTTGAAAACAGATTTGATGTGTTTCACCGTGGTCCGGAGGTGAAGGACACTTATTTAGGAATTTAAGCACAGCAACGTTAGTTACTTGCAAAAGCAGCGAGCAGTTGTGGAAGAAACTAAAAACTCATCACATCTGTGCGAGAAGAGTCTGGAATCTGCATCTCATTTAAATGATTAATAACCAGTGAAGGTCTCCAGAAAGACATTCTTGAGAGGAACAAACCTCAGGCTTCCTTCCACCACAGGCAGAATAATAACTGGGCCATTCAAGAAACAGCTGAGTGAGAAGAGTCAGGGCAAACTCCAGAGTTAATCTATGGCCATTTATAGATGAGACAGAAATAAAAACACGGCTCAACCCTCGTAAAGGTGTTTTTTTCCTGCAGGTGGAAGCAGGTTAATGTCACTTTAAATGTCCACAGCTTATTTGTTTTGCTGTCTCTTATGACACAGTTGGGACTACTCC